TCAAATGCGTTTCTTGTAATGTGTTTTTGTGCATTGCCAGCGATAGACACTGTTTTATGGAATTCCCTTCGTAAGAAATTAGTACTAAGTTAACCGTTTATTGAAATTAACTGAATGTTTTAAAATACTCTTAATTTAAAAATTAGTTGCTTTTTCGTTGGCATACGATCCAAATGTCCAGCTGGCTGCACCTGCCAGTGCTAAGAATCCTTATATGCTACAATAAAAAAAAAATGGGTTTTCTAATTATTTGGGAAGAATATAACGCAAAAACATGATTTTTTTTTTAGTTTTTCAATTATTTTAGTCTCGGGACTGAGGAGGATATAAATCTTATTCTTATTTGGCGCTGTGACTGCCTAACCGCCAGTCCTTTCTCTTCTGTTCCAACTGACGCCAATTGGAAATATCAAGTGAAGCCAAGTCCTTCTCCACTTGTTCTTTCCATCGCAGTGCGGGCCTCCCTCTTCCTCGCGGAGCCGCTGAATGTTTATTCACTGCACTATATCCATGCCGTTGTTAAGCTCATAAGGCTCATCGTTCCATTGGCTGCAGTACTCGCCGTCGCCAACGCGTAAGGGCCAGTAAATCTTCGACAAAATTTTTCTCTCGAATACTCCAACAGCCGCATAATTGGATGCTGTCATTATCCATGCTTTTGCGCCATATACCATCACGGGCATGATGAGTGACTCATAGAGTGTAGGTTTCGTACGCCTAGTGAGCAATTTAGTCCTGAATTGCATACGCAGTCCAAAGTAGCACTTGTTGGCAAGAGTGATTCCGTGTTGGGTTTTCATGCCGGTTTAGTTCTGCGGCTTTATTATCTTCTCCAATATCCGATTAAAGAAGTCGCACGAAGGGGAGTCGCCTTGTATTACTCAACGTCATTTTACACAGCCGTATCAGTTTCGCGTGGGGGATACCAATTCAGACATCACGGCGTATAGGCAACTCCTTTTAGTGCTGTCATAGGCGGCTTTGAAATTTGCAAATGAATGGTGTGTGTCGATCCTGTTCTCGCGAGTCTTTTCCAAGATTTGGCCTATTAGTAATACCTGGTTCATGGTGGATTTACCAAGTCGATACGATCCAATCATTTCGTTGACGTTGGGCTCAGTCTTTCGCACAATACACTCGATAAGACCATGTAATCTATGCTTAGAGGTCTGAACCCGCGGTAGTTGGCGCGAATGGCTGGGACGTATTTCTTGTGGATTGGGCAGAGCACACTTAAATTCCAGTCGTCGGGCATTCGTTCATCCGCCCATATTCTGCGTAGGAGTTGATGCATGCAACTTGTCAGCTCCTCGCCGCCGTACTTAAATAGCTCGGCTGGCAGGCTGTCAACTCCAGCAGCTTTGTTGTTTTTCAGCCGCATAATTACTATTCGTCCCTCGTCATAGTCAGGCAGTGGAACATCGAATCCATAACCATCGATGTAATCTAAATACTTCTCTGTATTTATGAAGCTTGAAAAGGATACATCTTTGTATTAATTCTACTACTAACGTCTTGGTGCGTGCGAACAGTTTTGAAAAAATCACAACTCTAGGAAAAAAAAATTAGTTTTTTTCCTCAATGGTTTCTATTTTCGGACATGCGCCCTTTTCAAAATTGCATATTCAATCATTTTTGTATGCACTTCGCCAATCACCTCAATTCTTTTTTACTTTTCGCCTCAAATAGAGGATTTTACTGCTTCCTGTCTCCAAAAGGTTGTTCATTGTGTTTTAATATATCTATTTATATTAACATTTATATATACATATAAATTAAATTATAATATAACAACATCAAGAGATTTAAATTAAACACATCAAGATTAGTCTGTTTTACAAACATTAATTGGAGAAATGTGTATACATACATATGCATGTATGTATGTATTGTAGCAGACAAAGAGGAAGACCGCCTCACAGTGGTGCCAAACTGGAATTTACTGTCCGGAGCCTCATTTCTCAACAGAGTCAATTAATTTTATTTAATAAAGCATATGAAATTTAAAAGAGGATTGTCGAGCCCGATTTTTTATAATTTTTATTTCTTTGAATTTAATTTTTCCGTGCAAAGTGCAGAGAAAGCAGCAAATTTGAAGAAAATTGATTCTCCTGTTTCTTATTTGGAATTTTTAGAAAAATTTTAAGTTGCAGTTTTATAGCCCATCTAGACTATTTTGAACATTTAATTCCAGTCTGTGATGGCAGTGTTGAGCAAGTTTTAATTGTAAGTACAATTAACAATTCATTAATTAATTTAATTGCAATTACTTGTTTAATCAATTAATATGATGATTAAAAAATTAATTGATTAACGCCAAACACTGTGCGATGGAAACACCAGGGTGCGAATCACGGCATTCATTATCTAAGTTAACTCGAATAGAAACATGATTTTAAAATCACAGCATTCGTCAATTTAGCACAGTCTCTCGTCAGCAAAAGTCTTTCGTAAATTTAATTAAAAAGAAAAAATAATAATTAAACACAAAACGAAACAAATAACTGCTTAAAAGTTAAATGAAATAAAAAAATATGTTTTTCTTTTTAAAATAATATGTAGAATCTAATAATTAAAAAAAAATCCTTTAAAATAAACGACATAAAAAAAAATCTCTTTAAAACAATAAAATCTGAGAGAAAAATATATCAAAAATCTAATTGAATTAAAAATAATTAATGGATATAAATATCAAAAAAAAAATTTTTAATTTAAGAATATATATTTTTTTCTTTTCAAACGATAAAAGCTGAAAATTCAAACCAATTTAAATTCAAAAAAAGTGTAATTAAAAAATTAATGAGTTTCTAAAAGTTAAGTGAAATAAATAATTGTTTTGTTTTAAAAATAATACAACCCAAAAGTTAAAGAAAAGTAAACTTTAAAAACAAAATAAGTTCCTAAAATTAAATGGAATTAAAAAAATTTATATTTTTCTTCTTAAAATAATATCTAAAAATCTTAAAATTAAAGGAAAATCAAATTAAAAAGAAAACTAAATTATTTGAAAAACGAAAAAAATGAAATAGTTTGTAAAAATTAAATTAAATAAAAAAAAATATATATATATAATACTCCATGTATTCTTTCTGAACGTTAACCTTCTCCCCTTCCCCCCACTCCTGTCAATTTTTTTAACTTAAAACTTTTTTAAAAATATGTCAAATTCACTAAAAAAAAACAAGCTCTTCAATGCCGAGCGCCAAAATAACGAAGAAACGATTACGAAAAAGGGCTGACATTTGCATGTTTAAACTCGTGTAATATGACAAAAAACCAGCCAATGGTTACCAGTAACCATAGCAACAACGTGGTGGAGTTTGAACAAAATGTTGTCATAAATTTTTTTTTTCCTGGTACACTTGGCGAATTTTGACCCATATTTTAATGGTTTTTGCTTCAAAAATCGGCGTCAATAAGTCTCTTCTAAATTAGCTTCCATTTAAAAATTATCAAATCAGTTGAAAAAATAAAGGCTCTGAACCATTTTGAACAGTAAATTCCAGGTTTGTACCACTGTGTGACTCTAGCGGTTCTGTTCAGTTATACGAGGTAATAATTGGAAATATGTTAACGTAATTTTTTTATAATTTGTGTGAGTCCACTACCCAATTATATTATTTGCTTTAACGTTGATTTAAAAGAGAAATTTTAAATTAAAGAAAAATTATACATTGGGCCTTATGAATAAAAACTAAACAATCGCTTTTTATCAAAACTTCAGATATTTTACTCGATTTACTCAAATAAATTTAAGTAAAAGGTCGGATATTTGATGAAAAAGCAATTGCTTATTTTTATTCATACGGTCCATTGTGTCGTTTTGGGATCTTAGATTTCTAAATTCAATTAGGCATAAAATTATAACGGTAACCAACTTTTTAAAATCCTCCAGTAGTTTATCATCATAAGACCAGCTTAATCGAATGCAGTAGATCCGATTCCCATCACTTCCATTTTTTTTTTTTTAATTTGTTGCGGTGTGTTTTTGATGATTTCGATAGTTTTGCACATCCATAACACATAGCTATACATATATACACATACATACATACATACATACATTTGTACATATATCCCCCGTAAAGTGTGAAGGGTGGTCTAAAAATTTTGACATGTTACTATTTATTTACAAAAATATATAAACCGATTGCATTTTAACAAAAAGCCAAAAATTTTGTTGGAAACACTACCACACACACACACACACACTTTATAAGGAACTTTATAAGAAATATGAATATTTTATTATTATTTAATTTACTGTAATTTTGTTTTATATGGCTAATTTATGCAAAGCCCAATGTGTGAAACTTACTAGACATAAAGTACGTTTCGCCCTGGTAATATGGAAGATAAACGTGGTCTTCATTCGTATTTCGATCACCCTTTATGCCATAACATGGATCCCAATCGTTTGTGTCGCCTGAGACACAGTTTGTCAAACATACATACAAACAAAAATATTCATAAATTATAGAACTTATTTAATATGTATTTACTCAGAATTGATTTGAAATTTCTCACAAATTATCGTATTGTATTTTACTAGGTTGATAATAATAAGGCTAGGCCAACACATACTTAAATGGATAACGGAAGATTTTTAACTTGGTGTCACATTAGTGGAGTGCTTCGCATTGTGTTATTCGAGTAGCATGTCAAAGTTTTTATACCAGTTAAGGTTGTACGTACATATTTAGTACACTCTTCGGCAGAGCAAAATAATATTTTATTTAGTATCTAGTTACATTCATTCACAAATATGTAACGATTTAATGAGAATTTGTCTTGTAAAGCGATTGTTTCTATATGCAGATGTATAAATGAAATATAAAGGGTGCTTTGTTAATACATATGTATGTATGTATGATTTACGAAATGGAGAACCAAGCAAACTTTTCAAATGTGAATGAATTTATTTATATATATATATACGAATGTCCAAAGATACCAGAGATACATACAAAAAATAGTAGATTGCATAGCATAATACATACCACCTTCTTCTTCGGAATCCGACATAAAGGATTCATGCATTGCCTCAGGTGCAACAACGCGATACTTTTCATCGGTTTGAGTTTGTGTTGCTGCATCTGGTTCATTTGTAATCGATTTCAGAGAATCCAAAACACTTATATAACCCAATTTGCGTGCAATATGCAGCGGTGTCTGTCCATTGACGGTCTGTGCATTGGCATTGGCCTTATGTTCCAATAGTAGATTAACGATGTGACAATGTCCTTGCTGAGCTGTCTGATGCAGCGGTGTATAGCCGATTGACGTAGCCGCATCCACGTTAGCACCATGATTCAATAAAAAGCGCACCATATTTGCTTGACCGAAATGGGCGGCTACATGTAGCGGTGTGTAGCCTGCTTTGGTGGCCATATCAATATTGGCGCCATTGCGTTGTAGAATTTCGGCTACATTTACATTATCTTCTTGTGCGCACAAGTGCATCGGAGTTAGTCCATTCTTGGCTGGATGATTTACGCTGGCCTTATGTTCAATGAGCAAATTCGATATCTCAGCGTGACCCTCCTGGAAAATGATAAAATTTGTATTAAAATCATGCATTTTTGCTTTTGATTGCAGTGAAAGCGCACACTGAGAAAAAAATAAACCATATCGTGTTTATTTCAAACTAAAACACATACATACATAGGATTTGCCGCCAAGCGATCCTTTGTTTACTTTAAACAGATTTTTATGTGGAGATTTTTTCTTTTGAATAGGCTTTCGCTCTGCACTTCACATATGCTTTTTCATAATAGTAGAAACCAAATAAAAATTTAAGACTTTATGTTGAAGCAGACGGCAATCGAACCTAGGATCTCTTGCACCTAATAAATAATAGCAAGCACCTCTGCGCACTCAGCTACAGTTAGAACATGTAAATGTGTTTTCAAATGTTCATTTTGAATCAAATTTCTTACGATCAAACTAATTTGATTTCACATTTGTTCAAAATATACTTTTCCTTACTTTGGAAACGACTCCGTTTCGAAAAATTATATTAGATAAGATTAAATTTAGAGGAGGGAGCAGAGAGCCACTTGTTTCCGCGACCTTAGAGTTACAAACTTCTATTATTCTCTTTTTTGTTGAGGCTATTTAATTTTCTGCTAAATGAGCGGTAATTTCAACTGTTCATTACGATATCTGGCGTTACATAGAGTGCCTAACCCGAGTCTTCAAGCCACCGCAAACCACTCTAATCATCCCACTATTGAAAACTTAGAGACCTAACAAACATAGAGAATCGTATAGACCCGCGGCACTAGAAGCTTTGTTGCTTCTTACTCACAATGCGAGATCGGAACCACATAAAGATGGCTTCCGACGCCAACACATCAATTAACCACGTAAACTCTCAGTCGTTTTCTCTGGAGGGGATGACTCTATCTCTTTTAAATCACTACGGATTCTGCAGAAATCGTTATAAGGAACTTCGAAACTGGTGGCTATGTGTCTTATGATCCAGTGTTCATCTAATATTCCTGTGTGAAGCGTGGGATCCATGCCCAAATCCATGTTATTCGTTCATCGAGCAGTACAGCTTAGTCCATTAGCTGTTGCTAGCTACTCTCGCCTACTCCTCAACTTGTTGAAACAAAAATTGCAGGGTAGATTGTGTGCTTTGAAGCGCTTTAGGCCATTCACGAAACACCATTCTACCCGGGTCCCATTTAAAATTACCTAAGCAATGCATTGTACCTAAGCCCTAGGAGAGGATTTAGATGATAGGGATGTATATGTAGGGGGCGGGAATTCATTGCCCTTCTACAAATTTACCAGACTCCTTCATGAATCTTAGCCGTTTTTCGAGGGAAAAAATGTAGCTCGTGCATTTTCAATAAACCAAAAATATACCATCTAAGTCTGGAGATGTCCGGTCAGGGGCAGAGAAAATGTTCTGTACTTTAGTCGTCTTCCAAGCAAGATGTACCTAGTGGATCGTCCAGGATGCCTATGGCGACCATAGGTCTTAGTCATGGGTTGTTCACCGCAATCAATCCTAACAGGGCTCGTAGATCACTGGTTATCTGTTTGAGAAGAAATTTGGCCTTTTCAGAAAACACTTGGTTGTTTTGAAGGCGTCAATACTACAGCAACGGCTTTATGAGTTTTATAAGAGAAATCTTTGATGTACCCGATTTTTTCCGCTACGATTGGCCCTAAAAATGGCTCAGGTCCCATAAAAGTTCAAAGCTCATTCACCTTGCAACGAGTTCAGCCTCAACTTACATTCCTGTACTATTTTTAAGGCGCGCGAGCGGTTTCCAAGGTCTTTATAGCAGCTTGGCTGTCACTACAGACCCTGATTTTATGTCCACACCAGCTTTCGCAAGTTATACAGTCTACTACTTTCAGTATTGCGAAGACTTCCATAGCACCCTAAGTAGTAAAAAGCACCTGAAGCATCATCCAGTTACCATCCTGCTACATTACCATTCTCTGAACCGTCGGTATAGAAAGTTTTTACGAACATCCCCAAGGGTGAATCTAGATCTCTCCATTGCTCCCTTGCAGGAAAGCTAAAGACGTACTTTCTTCCAAAAAAGACACCAGGTATCAGTTTGTCATTATGTGTAAAAAAAAAAAACAAACAACCTTCTATAGAAATCTCTGTGTCCGGAGCTCCGATATAAAATTCACAATATTCGCACCGTTATATAACTTTTGGTATACAGTTTCTAAAATTAATGAAGAAAACAGAGAACAGAAAGAAATTCTTTAACGGCTAGAGACGATTAAGTAATTTTTTCAGAATGAGTAAATCTTTAGTATCTCGGAAACGTCTTGGGGAAATACCGTTTTAGGTCGACCAGAAACTGAACTTCTTAATGATAAAGAATCGTAAATAAACACTTATAGGGTCCAGTGTCCTCCGCTCCTCTAGACCCTAATTTATATCAGTCTTTTTTTTTATTGAATACCAAAGCTCTTGCTCAAAAGAATCGGATTGCTTGGGGTTACTTCCGCCATTTCGAACAAAATACTACCATGTATAAGCATAAGTACATACAAATCTACACCTCTTACCTGGCAACTCAAATGTAATGGTGTGAAACCGGCTTTGCTTTCAGCATTAGCTTGTGCTCCATATTCCAGTAAAGTAGTAGCGATATCCATTTGGTTTTTGCGTGCGGCAATATGCAATGGTGTATGTCCATTTTTGGCTATAGCATGTGGACTAGCCCCCTTCTCCAACAACAATAAAGCGACTTTTTGGTTATCATAATGACAGGCGACATGTAGCGGAGTGACGCCATTCTTGCCTTGAGCATCCACATCCGCTTCCTTTTGCAACAATAGTTGAGCAACCTTGATGTGACCATATTTGGCGGTTAAATGTAGTGGTGTGAAGCCTTTCTTCGTAGCAGCGTCCAATGCAGCGCCGTTTTCGATCAAAACAGCAGCGACCTGGTTAAGGAGATTTTATAAATTTAACGTGTATATGTATATACATACATATGTAAGTAGATATCCAATCACACTGAAGTTAAGATTCATGCAAAAAAAATTAAAAGGTAAATGGTTAAATATGAAAAAAAAATGGTATTTGTACCTTTACAGAAGAAATGATAACCAAGGAAATGAAATTTTATATTTCACAATTTATTCAACAATATTTTAACACAGTAATTAAATAATAACAATTTTTATAGCAACGAACATAAGTTGAAACAAAGGCGTTCGGTTATAAAAAAAAATAATGAAAAATAATACAATCTATGCCTTAAAATAATGCGTTAAAACAAACTTTACATGATGAATATAAATATTTCATAAGCAGATTTTTTGTTCAGTAAATTAAAGTTTGGCAGTCAATTTTATCTAAGTGAGGTATGCCACATGAAATTATCATTCTCTTAGTATGTCGAAGAATACATTAAAAAGAGAAAGTTGTGTTCAGGAAGGTAGTAGTCACGGTCTTGTAAGGCTTGGTCCCCATTTTAAGTTGTGTTTCAGAAATTGAAGAATGTAAATAAGCCCGTAACACCTACCAAGCAAACAAAAAAGTTCGCCATACACCCCTGAGTCTAAAATACATACTCACATTTTTTTTATTTTTCGCCTAATGTAGGGGTCGCCTTAAAAATTTTTTCGGTGACACCTAAGTAAATAAATTCGGATGTAAGAAATTTTCCAGAAAAAATTCTACTGCTATAATAAAAATAGTTCCTTAGCAAAAGTATAATGATTTTTGATGAGCTTCAATTTACTGATTTTAGGGTAGTACGTTAGGATGATATGTATCAGAAAAAAATTTAAACTTTTTTTGAAATCGCCTTGCAAAAATACTTTAGACTCAAGGGTTTCCGGATAACTTTTTTTACGGTCTAATGTATTTATGGAAAATTAAAAATTTGTGGGTTTGTTTCCGTTTAGTAGGCCCACCTTAGCGGGACCTACATTTAAAATTTCAAAACTTTTGGTGAACTATCCAGGAATGTATAAAAAATAATTTCACTTAGTGCATATTCTAATGATCAAGATAGTGTACAAATATGTTAGGAAAAAAAATAAATGTTACTGCTAATTTAACTTAGTACCTACTTACATAAGTGAAATCTATGGTGCCAATCTGCTTATGGAAATATTTGTCATTTTACAAACTAAAAAATAACAACATTGAAACAACTTAACGGTAGCTGTACAAAATATCAAACAAAACCAACTTAAAGTAATATTCCAATTTCAGTGCTAAAAAAACAAACCAAGTTGAAGATTACAGTTAACATACAAATGAAAAGAATACATATGCATACATATAAGAAAAGAACTAATCAAATAAAATACTCCTGATGGCGTATCCAAAACAATTGCATCAAATAAACCGTATCAATATGGTCCACGATCTTTTTCGCAATCAATTCTTTTACCTCATCCTGACCCTCTTTGGCGGCAATATGCAAAGCCGTATACATATCCTTGGTGGTGGCATCCACTTGAGCGCCATGCTGCAGCAACAGCATTACAATATCAACATTGCCGAGACGAGAGGCAATATGCAACGGAGTTTGTTGCTCGCGTGCGCGTGCATCCACCTGAGCGCCATTGCGCAACAAAATGCGTATAATATCAGTCTGTAAATGGAAGCAAACAAACAAAAGAAACAAACGAGAGTTAAAAATTTTTCTCTTCATCTACATATACGTTAATCCCCACCCACCTGATTGGCACGCGCAGCCAAATGTAGCGGTGTCTCACCGCGTACGGTCGGCACATCCGGGCTGGCGTCATGTTGCAGCAAGTAAATGACAATATTCATACAGCCCATAAAAGCGGCCACATGCAATGGTGTCAAACCACTCTCTGTGGTGGCACTAATACTGGCGCCGTGACGTAGCAGCAACTCCACCACCTTTATGCGATTCTTCTTGCATGCAATATGCAACGGCGTGAAACCGTTAAGCGCACGTGCATTGGCGTCGGCATTACGATCGAGCAGCAGTTTGGCGACACGCACATGTCCACAATGCGCAGCCACATGCAGCGCTGTTAAATAGTCCACCGTAACCTCGTCAACGGGTGCACGGTGATAGAGCAAAATACGTGCGGCATCTACGTGCTCACCCTGTGCGGCCATATGCAACGGAGCGAGTCCGTTCTTTGTTTTGGCGCTAATCGGTGCGCCGCGCTCGAGTAGCATGTCGACTACCTGCTCGTGACCAGAACGTGCTGCACAATGTAATGGCGTTAGACCGTCACGGGTCTTGGCTTCAATATTAGCGCCCTTCTCCAACAGCAAGGAGACCATGTTGGTTTTACCCCACTTGGCGGCCACATGCAACGGACTAATGTTGTGCTTAGCGGCGAAGTTAACGTCGGCACCTTTTTGGATTAGTAGAGTGGCAATGGCTTGATTGCCATAGTGGGAAGCAATGTGCAGTGGTGTAAAGCCAGATTTGGAAGTTACATCGGGATTGTGATCGTTCTGTGGGAAATAAAATTAGTTATCGATTACAAAAGGATATTTTGTTTATAGACGGAAGACATCTTTCGACTTTGTACTCACATCCAAAAGTAGTGTGGCAGCCTTTACATCGTCCTTCTTGGCCGCAATATGCAATGCAGGTAATCGCACCTTGCCGCGTGTATCACTTTCCAAGAGCACAGCCACGACCTTATCATGTCCTTGCTGCATAGCCACGGCCAGTGGCGTGAAGCCGTCTTCAGTGGCAAGACTTTGATTTGCGCCGTTGGCTAACAACAACTTCACCACCGAATCGTGATTTTCCTGCGCTGCCATATAGAGTGGTGTAAAGCCATTCTGCGACTGTACATTCACGGAGGCATTGTGCTCGAGCAGAAGTTTTACTACCTCCTCTTGACCGGCGAGCGAAGCAATATGCAGTGCAGTGTTACCCTTCTTGGTTGCGCTGTCAACAATAGCGCCGCGTTTCAACAACTCAGAAACGACGTGTATATGTCCGTCCTTGGAAGCCAAATGCAGTGCGTTTAAGCCGTTCTGTGGGCGGGAGCAAAATCATTTGGTTAGATTAATACATAGCAAACTTTTATAATCTGTGTACTTACAGCATTGCTGGTGTTAATGTCAATATTATTTTTTAAATGTTCCAAAACTCGTTCCAGATTACCAGCTCGGGCTGCGCGTAGAAATGAAGTGTTTCCATCGCCCTGAAAACAGAAACTCGGAGTCAATAAAATTTCACAAGCAAAAAGATCTATAGTATTTTGCTAGATAATTAAAATTTTTTCTTTGGCTCTCTTAAATTGTCTTATATATAATTAAGGATAGGAGGTTGTTTGATAATTGAGTGCGTATGTATTAGGGATGTGCGATTAATCGATTAAACAATTCTGTAATTAATCAGATCCTGAGTAATTTTTGTTAAAAAAAAAAATACTGCAGCAATTATTCTGGTTTCTAGTTAATCAGTTTTCTGATTAATAAAATGAATTAGATTCTGTTTAATTAAAATGCAATTAATCGAGAAATTAGTCACTTTGATTAATCAAAAAGTTGTATTCTTTGATTAATTGATTAATCAGATTTCGATTTATCAGCTTGTTCGATTAAGTGATTAATCGCGCATCTCTAATATGTACATAGTATATGTTTGCCAAGATATTTCTTTCGCTTCCTCCCTGTGACATTATACTTCTGCAATCTCAATAGCGATGACTTAAAAAGTTGTGTGTTCGGTAGGCACATAGAAGATTTTAGCATCAACAACGCGTCCGACAAAAATCTTTATCTCATTGAAATTCCCTGCGCGAGCTCTGTATTTTCAACATTCTAGGCCCAACTAATATTTCCTATTATCCGTATCGAGGTTTAGCCAAGCTGGGGCCCTTCACAAGGTTCAGTCGCGAACGGATACCGGGCGACCTTCAGAGCTGATCAACCATACTCGGAACAGCGAATCTCCGCCAGAGCGAAGGCAACTCGTGGGAGTAATTATCTATACATATATAAATACGCCACAAGAAAATTTTGAACTCCCTTTTACAGACTAAAATGTGAAAACCGATATATCTCTAAAGCCAATTATGCTGAGGAACTGAAACTTAGCACAGATGCGTTAATTGTAACCACCCTACTTACGCCGAAAAATTGCAGGTATTGAAAAATGGGGGCGTGGCACCACCCAAGCAAATTGAAATTCTCATATCGCTTATCTCTGGAACCGCCTGTGCTAACATTCTGAAATTTTACACAGCTATTTATGCTGCCAATGACGTACTTATGGGAAAATTGGTGCATCGGCCGATTCTTTGCCGAATAAATCCTGAATATAATTTAATTTCAAGAACAAATGCTTTTATAAATTTATATAATAACAAAAGAAAAACAATCAAATACCTAAATAATAATATCTCATTCAAAAATCGGCCAAAAACGGCCGATGCCGATTCTCTTGGCCGATACTAGCCTCGGCATCGGCCGATTAATCGGTCGGACTCTACGAGGCACCTCCCATACTGAACCTTTCATATCGCTTATCTCTGTAACCACTTATGATCTTTACTGGAAAAACTTAATTTCAATATTCCGCAGCGAAGTCTACGGAATCATAAAATTTTCTGGTTGGGCACGGCTAAAACTATTTATGCTTGTAATGCTCCGATTCTGAGAACATTGGGAGAGTTTAATTCGTTTTCAATTCTTAATGGTCTTGACTTTTCTTCCACAAAATACTATTTAAAATGTTATTAAATGATTTTTTTAGTTAGTCTTAAGTGCGCTCTAAATTTTCTGTTTGTAATCTGTAAGAAATGTTACACTTTTCTAGATTAAAAAAAAATAAATAAATAAAAGAAGGTAGTTTCAATAAACAGCTTTTTGATTAAAAAAGCAGATATTGGACAATTGCTCAATTGTGAAAAATTCTAGGCGGAGGCTGCTCTTCCGAGGAACTGCTTGAGCTTGTATTGTCTGCCTAGATAATACTCCCTTGGGGTACGGGCATATCAACTTTCTTAAAATATCTATTGAATAGTAAATAATAATTATTAAATTCGATAATTTATAACTTTATACTTTTCCATATCTCGGCAGTTTTGCAAATATTCAACAATAATCGATTAGTTGTCCCCTCAAACAGAGTAAAGGATGCATACAGTATAGGTAGACTTATGTACATGGAACCTGGGTTTATCACTTTTTACAATTTTGTGAAGGTTAATTGAGCCGTGTTTATTCATAGAATATTTTTTATTCGGATTTTCCTAAATTTAGAAAAAAGCTAGAAAGAGCTAAAAGATTTACCGAAAAAAGCTAGCAGCCAAATTGAAATTTTTCTAGCTAAACGGTGAAAAAACAGCTAAATCTATCTGGAAAATAGCTAATATGGCAACACTGGTACGCATCTTAGACAGACTTAGAGCCATTTCAACAATATTAGAGTGGACTCTCTGCCCATGTATACATTCACATTCGCAAAACATTCGTATCATTTGATGCGAATGTCGAATGCGAATACGTAAAATGATGCGAATCATTCGCATAACGAATGCGAATGCAAATATTCGCAACATTCCTGATATGTATATAGGGAAAACTTGGAAGTTAGGGCGGGGGGACTCGAGCCTGGCTACCTGGCTACCCTCATGCAAACATATGTAAAAACATTTACATGTTCAACACAGTGCGACAGTAAATTTTACAAAATATAAAAAAAAACTGCGTATTTACTTGTTCTCTCTGCCGTCAAGATTTTTTTAAAAGGACTTTGAAAAAATATGATTAATAGAATGTAGAATAATAATGCGGGTAACAAATAAAATATAAAATTTTATTTCATTAAATATTATTGAATTTTTTGGTGCATAAGAGCGAATAGGTATGGAAAATGTCCTTCATCCTCTTTATTAGCTTAAACAAATAAAATGAATTAAAAGCGCATTTTCAGTGTCTATTAACCAAAAAACTTTAAAGTTTCAAAAATCCTACAGCATTATCTCTTTCATTTCACGAAATTCGGACTACGAGGGATTTTGTTGGTGCGCCAAGGCGTTATTTTTTTTTTAAAAGCAGCAATAGGGATTTTAAGTTCACGGTGTATTTGTTTATTTCTGGCGGAGCGTCCATTCTAAGGTTTGAGGGCAAATACACCCCCATTACTTTGCATTCAAAATTGCCATTATTTTGTTCCTATAAGTACTGCTTTAAATCTTTCCTCATGCTATTAAAATTTTTTAACTTATTCTTTTTTGCTGGCAAAAATATTAAATATTATTCCGAACGTAACACCCGCAACGCTAGCATTTGCCCATATCTAATTATTTTCTTCGTACACCGAAACTAACAAAAAAAAAACGCTTTTTTAGCTCCTTTGTAGCGAAGGCTTCATTGTTGAGATGTCTTTTGTTTCGTTAAATAACAGATTGGCCACCCCAAACTAACAACAACCCGAATATTAGTAAAACTTTTGTTTCCTCTTAAAACAAAACACACCGCACACTTGCCAAATGGTCATTCAACTTGTGCAGGTGCATTAAAAAAGTGTTCCCGTTACCACCCAACCACTCAGCTTCTAAGAAATTATGTATGTCGATTAAACGTTAACAATGTCAAACTGGCGCTTATTTACATATACATAGTTATATGTGCATGTGTAGGTATAGGTAATAAACATAAATGCACTTGCATACTTAGTATATGCAACCAGCTGTTAGCACTTATACATAAATACTAAACAAGTTGTTTACTAGCGCTTTGTTTACAAATTTTTGGGGTTGAATAGTAGTATGTTGTGATGTATGTGTGTATACACAAAAAAGAAAAAATAACTTTTCATTTTCGAAAGTGTCCGAAAAGTCGAAAATGACGTCATTATTTCGAGCGTATGACAACATCTGCGAAAGAGAGTTTCGAACTACGAAATTACGTTCACGAATTTATTTCGTTTTTCTTCCTTGCCGAAATTGAAGTGTCCACAATATCAAGCGGCAAACAGAGACTTTTTTGTAACTTTTCACTGTTTGTCTATGTGCTTTATGCGCAGGTTTGTAACTACACATACATATAATTGAAGAAACACACCCCTTTAGACATTGAATTTAGGTATATGTATGTATCTATATATATGCATTCTGCATTTATGTAGCGAAAGCCTCTTTTGTAATAGATATACAAAAGAATGCACAATAAATCCCGGAAGTAATTTAAAAATATTTTTCTAAATGTTTACCTTAGCGAAATAAGAATGCTTGAGGTGATTCGCTTCTAAAGAAATTGCAATGAATTGCAAAGAATATAAACATGTTACCGGTTTTTCTTTTAAAAAACTAAATATAAGCCTCTTTGGTACAGAGTTAAAAGAATTCGCTTAGGCTGTTACAGCGCCAAACAAGCAGAAGAAGAAGTAAGTTAACTCAGGAAGCTAATTCCTTAATGGCTTGCCTTTCAATTACGGATGCATTTGTAGAATATTACACCGTGCGACAAAAACCAAAAAAAAATAAAATCTCTAAACACACGAAGCAATCAATATACTAACCAAACTAGGGGTGAAATATAGTACAACTGCGGACTTTTTAAAAGTAGTTTGAAATTTCAAAGATTCCGCAGGGCTTTGGTTCAAGCCCTAGTCAAAGCAATATCGCAAAAAAATATAGAACAAATGTTTTTTCTTAACAGCGGTCGTCCCTCGCGAGACAATAGCAAACCTCCGAGTGTATTTCTGGCATGAAAAACAGGTTCTTATAAAAATACAATCGCCGCACAGTGGTCAGATACGGCATGTTTTACGCGAAAAAGGCTTATTTTAAAACTGTGATAAATTAACCGAAATAAAGCTATTCTTATTCAGAAATGTCCAGCGAACTCAAAACTGATTAATATTTTAAATAAAATCTGCTGAGCAAACCGCTGAATCTGTTTAATTCAACAATTTCGATCGTGGCACGTTCTAACAGTTATCAGTTGATAGATTTCTTAACAATTGTTTTATGGATACTGTTTAGCTGAGGGAGAGCGGGAGACCAGGTTTAAAGGTGACCATATATATTAATTGGGGGACTCCATTGGAGGAGTCGTGCTTTAGCTGCCGTAGGCTGCTGTGCAATGAGCTGGGATTTATTTGGGGGGACTCCATTGGAGGAGTCATGCTCTAGCTGCCGTAGGCTGCTGTGGAAATGAGTTGGGGCGACTCCATTGGAGGAGTCATGCT